ACGAGTTTCTGTTTAATACTGGAACAGCGGACCAGCCCATTATTTATCTTGTACATCATGGAGAGCCTGGATTGTCGTCATCGTTCCTCCAATGGTGACCAGCCTAGTTTTTCCAGCATTCTGCCAACACTAGAGGTATTCCTGTAGCGGTTTAGGACAAAGCGTGCTGCTCATCACTGGACCGCCTCTAACCTGTCAATGCTCTTCTGGGTAAATGGGTCCCAGACTGAAGATGCATAATCTAAAACCGGATGGACAAAAGCTTTATATGCTCTTTCTTTCACACAGAAGTTGCCAATCTTTAGATTTCGCCTTAAGAACCCTAGGGCCTTGTTTGCTTGGTTACATACATTGTTAATATGCTCGTCCCAGCGAACCTCTCTTTGAATGGTAACACCCAGGTACTTTACGGAGGAAACTGGCTCAAGTATATGGCCATGCAGTTCGTATTGGTAGTGTAGAGGAGTACAACTTCTAGAGACTGATAGTGTCTGGCACTTGGCAGGGTGAAATTCCATGTCCCAGCTCATCTCCCACTCAGCTAACAGATTGAGATCCTGTTGTAGCTGGTCCTGGTCAGATCTTTTGGCGATCATCCTATACACCGCTGTGTCATCTGCGAACAGTCTTGCTTGTAATGTCAGTTTCTTGGGTAGGTCATTAATGTATGCTTGGAACAAACAGGGTCCCAGCACTGATCCCTGGGGGACCCCTGACTTCACATCAACAAAGGAGGAGCTTGTACCGTCCACCACTACTGCTTGGCATCGGTGGCTGAAGAAGCTAAAGATCCATGTTTTAGTGGTGCCTTGGATCCCATATCTCTGGAGTTTGTGTAGAAGCAAACTATGATTCACATGGTCAAATGCCTTTGCAAAGTCCATTACCAGCACGTCAGTCTGCATGTGGTTCTCCAGATTGGTAATCAGGTCTTCTACAAATTCAAGAAGCTGGGTCTCACATGATCTATTGACTCGGAAGCCATGTTGACAGTCATTGAGTATATTTTGGGTTTCAAGATGCTTCATGACTGTGCTTTCTTAGACAATTTTTTCAGATTGCTGTACTTAATTATTAAATTTGTTACAATTCTAAAATAACATGAAAAAAAGAATTTAAAAAAAAAAATTGCAGATTTAACCAATTTTTATTTACATTGTAATTTGTCAGTAATGGTTGTCGAGATGAGATATTTTTAAGTCTAAAGTACTAAAAATTGAACGTGTTTTCTGTCTGTGTTTTTTTTTTTGTGAGAGCAGACATTAAAATATCATTGGTTTTAAATGTGTATAATAATTATTTTAAATCACAACACCATTTTTTAAAATCTTGCATTGTTATATATATCTTGATTGTGATAACAATGAAGACTTTGTCACATTTAGTGACTAAAAGTTAAACATAGTAGTATATTACACTTTATAAACATAAGTTCAATTAAGTTCAATTTTTTACCGATATAATTAATTGTATACCTACAGTTTTAAGTAAAAGAAATACTGTCTTTTTAAATTAATGTGTGTGTAACTTTGCCCCGCTCCAAAAACTCTTCCATAAAAACTAGTATGCCCACTAACTGCTGATGCATTGCATGTTTGATAAATTTGATGATTTTTTTTTGTTTTTTTTTATAACTTTTTCATCAATTGATAATTGATTTAAATTTAGTCTTGAAATAAATTGTTTTAACATGTTTAATGAATATATCTTCGTAATACCATTGGATTAACTGATTTTGATTAATCTTCTATAAATATTAATATTTAGAGACTATTATTTGGATAATGGATTGTAAAAGCTGTTTGATTAGTGCAATTAATTTTTTTTAAACAGAATTTATACTACTTCATCATTTTATTGTATATTTTACCCTTGATGTGCATATCAGTATTAAATTACTTTTTAGTTAACTTATTTATTAATTAAGTTATTGTTTCTATGTAATAAAACAAATATTTACATATTACATCAACTCGTCTGTTTACTTGATAACTTCATGTTCATATGGGTCAAGACATAATGGTGAAAGATATGTTCATATTTATATATATGTATACGTGTTCCACTAAGGGGGAGGGTATACGGGAGGGGGGGGGGATTTAACTGATTATTCAAAACTTAATTGTGTTNGTGGGGGGGGGGTTCATCATTTATCAGAAGTCGCAAGTCATTGTTAGTAAAAAAAAAAATTATAATTTAATGCCAAACAAAAGTTTTGTCTCCTTGATGATCATAAGGAAATATAAAACTGCATAATCTCAGATGATCCACTGTTTTATGTCGAATGTTGAGTAACAAATGACAATGAGTGTACGATGTTGTGTCTCTGCAACTTTCTTGGACATGAGAAACACGACCGGGGTACAAAAGACCAATCAACTTTGTTGCACCATAGAGAAAAATCAATAGAAAAAGAAGACCTGATTTGTTGTTGTATGGAAATATAAGACGATATGATAATCAGCAAAGAAAAAATACCCTTCGACGTCAAAAGATATCTTCAGACTTATCCCCCAGGGAATCCGAGAAGACACAGAGAGAAGGTCTCTCTGAAGAGCCGGATCCATTCGTTTAATGTAAATAAATCTATTTAAATTGTGTGAGACATCTTCGTTCTCGATGTCCTAATGTTGCTATTGTTGTATATAAATTGTGACAATTATTTTCAAAAATAAAACAAAAACACCTTACGACTAGTGACTCCCCAACCCAATACTGAGAAACACCCAATAAACATAAATAAAATGCAAGGACACTCATTAAAAATTCACACTACAAGACAATTAATTTAAAATTCATATTATCTTATCATATATTCGTCTTCATCTTTCTTTCTTTCTTTCGGACTTACTGGCTCAGCTTTAAACTGGCTTCAATCTTATTTTTCTGACAGAACTCAAACAGTCTCTATTTCCAACCGCTCTTCCAAACCTACAGCCCTGTCTATTGGAGTTCCTCAAGGATCGGTCCTTGGGCCGGTCCTTTTCATCCTTTACACTAAACCTCTATCATCTCTCATTAGCCACCACTCAGTTTCCAGTCAATCATTTGCTGATGACACTCAAATCAGTGACTCTTGCTTTCCTGATCAACTTGATGCCACAATCCTTCGCATACAGGAGTGCGTGGACGACGTAAAGCGTTGGCTGACTTGAAACAAACTGAAGCTAAATGATGATAAAACGGAAATCCTTCTCATCCACTCTCAAAACAAACATCTCCCTCCATCCGCTCCTTCTTCTATATCTATTGGCAACTCTGACATCACACTCTCTTCCTCTGCCAGAAACCTTGGAGTCACACTTACAGACACCCTCTCCATGGACAAACATGACATGAATATATTATGTAGATCAGCATATAACGAAATTAGAAAAATCAGCACCATTAGACACCTCCTCTCCTTTGATGCCACAAAAACGCTCGTCTCTTCACTCATTCTTTCAAAATTTGACTACTGTAACACTCTTCTCGCAGGCATTCCTCAACACCACATAGACAAACTTCAGAAGGCACAGAACTCAGCATGCAGACTCATTTTTAAATCAAAGAAACATGACCACATTCAACCACACATGCGGCAACTCCACTGGCTTCCAATATCCTCTCGCATCAAATACAAGTCTGCCAATCTTTGCTTCAACTCGTTCACTGACCCTCACTTTCCTGTCTATCTCTCTGAACTGTTGCTTCCTTACATCCCCACAAGACAACTACGCTCTTCCATTGACAATAGAACCCTCTCAATCCCAAGAACCAAAACTAAGACCATCGGTGAACGCTCCTTCTACTTCCATGGGCCCACGTTCTGGAACCAGCTCCCCTTCCATATCCGTCATTGTGAAACCTCGTCCACTTTTAAAAAGTCCCTTAAAACCCATCTGTTTAGGTCCGCCTATGACCTGTGATGCACCCTCCTTGCCCTGCCTCATTTTCTGTCTCGGGTTAATCCTGTAATATAGGCCAAAACGTGCCAAAGTGTCCTCGTTTTATAGCCATTTTAATTGTTTCTATAGTATAGTAGTTACTATCCTAATGCCTCATTTTTATTTTAGTTAGTTTACATGTTTTTAATAACTGTAAAGCGCTTAGAGCTTTAAGGTAAGCGCTATATAAAAATGCCTAAATAAATAAATAAATAATGTTAGTTGGATACAAAACACTAAATACTTCCATAAAATTATAAGTGTCAGATGAGAATTAATGCAAATATTTCACTATTTTTTAATTTTTTTTTTGTTTTTTGTTGCCTAGTTTATTGGGAAGCGTTATACGCAGTCGGCTGCGTGTAACCCTGAGAGTTATGGCTGCGCATAACCACTTCGTAGTTTATTTGCCGTATCCGTATGCTATGATCTAATAAAAAAAAAATAAGCTAATACAAAATAAAACGATAAATTATAAATAAACTTTTTAATGGAGGTGCAGATTAATGTTCTTTGGACAAGTACAAGGGTTCCCTTCACCTGTAGTACGCGTGTCTTTGGACCACTTTGGAGTAAGTGCAAAATTTATAGTGATAGCAGAAGGGCCAAGGGTGAGTGAAAAAAATGGCAATTAACACCCGCTCTTTTACGAGAAGCAATATTTAAATATTTAGCGGTATATTAGACCTAACAACATTTTTAAATCTAAAAAAATGCTAATATATTGTCGAAAGAGCTGTGGCTATTCGGACCCGGAATTCAGAAATGAGAGGTTGGGTCTCGTCAGACTAAATGAAAATGCTATTCGGATGTCTTCTGTGGTAGTTTGTTTGTTGTTTTTTTTTTCGTTGTTTTTTTTTAGTTTAACTGAAGAAATAAGTTTACAGTCCATTCAATTATCGTTCATTTGATACCAAATTTTGTCTTACAAACACAACAATAATATTTGAAATGTTTTTGTTTTTTTAAATTAAATCCAATCTATCACTCTTTTCCGGGTCTGCATAGCCACTTCGATATCGATTAGCTTCCCTTCGCCAACTGTAAGTAAACTTTCTGCAATTCTTGGTATTTAGACTGATCGAATCTTCAGAAATGGCGACAACTCCTTTCGCGAATCCAACGCAGCTGCTACCTCTTGGTAAAATAAATAATATTTTAGGCCCTATATCCATAGTTTTTCCTATTCTTTTTCACGAATGAAGAGATGTTAATTCAATCCCTGTATCACCGGTCACCAATGCATTGTAAAGTTATTATTTATATTAATTAATTTAGGTGACCATCGTCCATTCTTCTCACAATTTAAATTAGGCCTACTTACTGGGTATACCTGACTACTGTATAGGTACTTTGATAACAAAATTAAAACTTTAAAAAAAGAATAAACCAATGGCATAGTTGAATAGAGCTAATTTTTAAAAGATTGTTAACAACAAAAACCTATTTTTAGCTGTTGTAGTTTTAAAGTTATGAATTTTTAAAGTACCACTTAATTTGTCCTTTTTTAACATTAACATGGATCACATCTCCATTTTCTGGGACCCAATTCCGCTTTTGGCTTCACAAGCTGTATAACTCTTGTTTTAATGATAATTTTATTTTCAGAACTAATGATGTATTAAAAAAATAAGTTTAATAATGTTAACAATTATAGATAAATTGTAGCTTATCTAACTTTGCACCATTTATATCAGTAAATTTAATATAGGTATTTTGACACAAAATTTAAATATTGTCCAATTGCCATGAATGATACATCATTTTAAAGGGCTAGCTATAAGCCTTTTAACGACACCAATTTCATCTCTCTATCTTTGATAGAACTGGAGTTATGATTTTTTGGTCAAATTTTGTATGCTCCTTATATAAGCTATATATGCGGCCAAAAAACTTGTGACCCGCTTTTAAATTTGTTTCACTTTTTCCCCATAACTTTTTTATTTTTAAAGATAATGATACCAAATTTTCAGTAGATATTCTTAATGCAATATGCAACACAATACAATGAACACAAAATGTTCAAATTATATAATAAATATTTATTCTTAAAAATGTTTATGCAGGGAAAGTAAAAAAAAAAATATTTAAAAAAAAATTGTTTGGGTAAATTTTTACATGAAAAACAAAAAAATTGCTGGTTAATTCCATTGTCAAACAATAACAATATCAAATAAAATTTAAATTATTTAATTTATGTTTTGTAGGGAACTTGAAAATATCTGAAAAGAAAAATTAATAAATTTTTTTTTTTTTTAAAATCAAAGGTCCACACAATAAACTAATTACATGAAATGAATCAGTGCTACTACTTATTTGATGGGACTCTGAAAACATCCTGAAAATAAATATAGATATATTAGTAAATTATTAAAATAAAACATCCTGAAAAGAGATGTAGAAATGTTATTAAAAAATTATTCAAATATTTAGTCAAAACTGACAACAATAAAATGGTTAATGGTAAGTTTGTAAATAAATTACAGACAATAAATGTTAAACCAATACCTATTAAATTAACATTTACCTGTATGAAATGAAGAATTTAATATATTCTGAAAAGAAAAAAAAGGGGGGAAAATAATTTTTTTTAATGTACCAGTATTCCAAAAGAAAAAGTCAGAGGTACCGGTACATACATTAAAGTAATGATACCCAACAAATATTTAATCAACGCTGTTTTAATTATAATTAATACTATAATATGAAATTTAATAGTTACTTTTTTTTAAAGAAAATAAATGTCCTGAAAAAGGAAAATTAAACAAAAAATTACTAAAGATAGCCTAGAAAAGGAAAATGTGAAAATTATTTTTAAAAGTTATCAAGTAAAAATGAAAATCAATGGGTCTCACAGTAATATATTTACACAAAATAATTTTCTAAAGATATTTAAACATTAAGAAAAGATACCAGCCTGAAAAAAAAAGAATTTGAAAGGTAATAAAAGAGATAATAAAATAATGATTACTTTACCCTTCTCAGACGCCTCCATCAGTTCATCCACCTTCAAGAGTGCCTCTCTCCTGTCCTCCGTCATTGCCTTTGGTGTAGCCTTCAGCAGATACCCCTCCTCTTGTAGTTTGGTGACCTTCTTCTGCAGGATGCGGTTCCTTCTGCTCAGTAGACTGGCCTTTTCCATCTTCGTTGCTGATGGTCCCAGCTGTTGTTCCAAGTGATGAACCTTAGTCTTAAGCGTTGTCTTCTCTCGTTTCAGTGTCTCGATCCTGACCGTCTTTCTCTTAAGGCTCTGAGTCCACACTTTCATCTCAGGGGACCTGCAGAGAGACTTGGCATTCAACTTAACTTGTCTCACCTTGTCCTCCAAGGACCAACACCTAGTTACAAACCTTTTCCTGATAGAGCTGCACTCACTGCAATCAGTGCGCAACTTCTTTGCTGGTGGTGGGACATCTAAATTGAGTTGTTCTTCCTGTGGAACAAAACTAGTCAGATGTTGACCTACCTGGAAGTAAACACTTGCCTTGTATTCCTGTAGTTGTAATATCAGAACTGACCAATTTTTTCTTCTTGCTGTTTGGTGCTTTCAGTGGCTGCAACAAGAAATTCTGAATAATTTTCCAGTTACGTTTTAAATGCTTTTCAAGATCGCGGAGCTTTTTTTCCATTGCCATTTACAGCGCTCTGGTTTGACTGGTAGCTACTATCAACTTGTTGGAAATATCATCAAGCAAAGTCACAGCAGCTTTCATGCCTACCTTCTTGTTGGTGCTGTTGCTATAAAGAAAGACAGCATAGCCATTTCTTAACACTTTTGTCTCTGACTCTGCATCTTGAGCAAAGCTTTCTACAAAGCAATTGAAATCAGAAATGCTCACATTGGGCTCTGCAGAGATTTTACTTAGTTAGCAACTGAGAATTATGTTATAAAATAAAATGTTACTGTATATAATACAGTACTATAACTTATTTAGTTATACTATAGTTATAGGATTTTACTTTTGATAAAAATGAGAACTGTTAAAATAAATAACCTTATACTTATAATTATTATTATGATAAGGATTTTAAAAAATAATCATTTCATAATCAAACAACAATGGTTCATTTAATTTTTAAGTCAAAGTAAAGTATTAACTATTTAATTTACACAATACTTACAATAAAATCAAATCTATATTATAATTATAATGTTAATAAATATTATAATTAAAAACAGGCAAAAGTGAACAGACAACAAAATCAATAGTCCATATCTAATTAATATTATAAAATTTATAATAATATAAAACTTATAGCTTAAATTTAAATAAATGGTAACAATTATTATGACTTTAAATCTCAAAGACTATAACTATAACTATAGCCTATAATAGGAAAGTGCAAATAGCCTGAAAAAGAAAAAAAAATGGGAAAAGTATTATTAGTACCTGTGTATTGTATTAGTATTAGACTAGACCAGCGGTCTCCAAACTTTTCAGCGAGGGCCGAATTAACTATCTAACAGCAGTTCGGGGGCCGACTACACACTCGAGGTCCAAATAGAAAAGAATCAAAACATGGATGTTGTTTTTAATTATTTATGTAATATTATTTCATTCAGTTATTATTTAATAACACATTGATACACGACACATGAACACCTGTATTAGTATTAGTATGAATGGTGAAATTGTTTCCTGGATGCCAAAATAACAGTGATTAACAGACATTTCTTGATTTATATTTTATGTCCCTAACATCAACAGTGATCTGAGATTATCATCCGATAAATTTGTTCTCAAATTGTTCACCACGTATTTCGTTCTTGAAAATGTTTGTTCACACAGGTATGTTGTTCCAAAGATTGAAAGGTACCTTGATGCAAAAGTTTTGAAATTAGGAAAGTCTTCCTTGGGCAAAAACTGGTAAAAACCCACCAGTCCTTCCTTGAACTTGTCCCTAAGGAGGTCATTTGCAGTTCATCTGGGCAACTGGTCACATATGCTTCAAATTGGTTTTGAAAAAGTCTCACTTCTTTTGCCTTTAAATCGAAGTCAGAAAACCGCTGCTGACATTGCAGCTGGGGGTCTTTGATGATCTCGCATGCAAATGACGTGGGGGGGGGGACTCCGCTGTTGCTTCAGCCATGAATACCGTCCACTGCTGAAAGTGCGTCAAGTTTTTGGCCTGTGCTTGTTCCAAAAAACAAGATAAATTTGGATTTGAAGGCCTTTAGGGGGGTGTATAGATAGGAAAACTAGATTTTCCTCTCCTAGATTTTCCTCTCCTTGTAGTTTTAGGTTCAGAAAATTTAAATGACTAGTTATGTCTGCCATTTTCCATACCCACTCTTCATCAGACAGTAATGCCTGTGGCTTGCCTTTACCTTCCAGGAAGTCACATATTTCCTTTCTTAACTTAAATATTCTGCTCAGAACTTTCTCACAAGTTAGCCATCTTTTTGCTGTGTAAAAATGGTAAATTTTGCGATTCTGTGTCTGTATCTTTCAACAGGTTTCTGAACTGTCTATGGTTGAGCCCATGTGACCTTATTAAATTAACCCTCTTCACCACAGGTTTCAGTACACTGCTAATGTCCACATATTTAGCACACAACGTTTTTGATGAATAATACAGTGCAGGAACATTGGTTGCATAATTTTTTTCTCATTACAAATCTCCTTCACTTGTTCAACCAAGCCTTGCTTTATGCCATTCATGTTATTTCCTCCGTCAACAGTCAGGCAACTGAGGTTAGTCCAGTCCAAGTTAAAATCAGCAAATATTTTTTTCAACTCATCGGTAACAGTTCCGTACATGCTATTTGGGAAGCCAGTTCTTGTGTTATGTTCATGTCTTCATCCACACCCCCCTAATGAACACAAGCAGTTGAGAGGTGGAACAGCTGTCCAGCGATTCATCCATTGCAATTAAAAATTGGCGAAACTTGCTCGCATTTTTCACTATTTGAGTCACAATGTTTTCACCCATGTCTGCAACACGACGGGCAAATATCCGCCACTAGATGGCGTTATATATTCTAATTTCATTGACTATATACGGAAGTAGAAAAACTAAACAGCGAATAAGGTTTTGCAAAGTAAAGATCCGTTAGAAAACATAATGCACTACTGCACGCCTCTATTTTAAACATAACATCCACGTAAGCGACGTCTGATCTTGGCAGGATACACGTACATTTCCGTAATTTTTTTCCGTAGACAAAGGTCTCCGCGGGCCGCATTAGAGGGCCTCATGCGGCCCGCAGGCCAGCAGTTTGGAGACCCCTGAACTAGACTATTAAAATAGCAATTTAATTTAATAATTAATTCTAAACTAAACTAAACAACAACATATTATGATGGCCTTATTAAAATTCTCCTGTAGGAATAGTCAATAAGTATAATAAGAGAATAATTGAATAACTATTATTATTATTGCTTTCTACGACTACTAATTTGAACTAAATTATATAGTACTATTTCATATTTTGAACTAAATTATTTAGTAAATGGGAGCAACCCTTGGTCCCTACATAAACTTTTTAGGTTATGTTATAATCTTTTCTTAAATTTTTTATAAATTTATATTTATTTTAATCTTCTTTTATTGAATCAGATGTTTAAGGGTTTAATAACAAAGTATCACTTCATAATTGACAGAGATAATAGCCATTTCCGGCTCCTCGTCCAAAAAAAAATAATAATTAATTTGGGGACATTTTCGTACCCCCTCTACTTTGGGAGATGCATAACTTTTGTGGGGCAAAGTCTATTAAAAAACTCTAATAATGAAAAAACTCTCAAAATGAATGTAGTATGTACTGAACTACACCTTATTTGCCTAAAATAACAAATTAAAAAAATAATATGTGATATATGCTTACTCTGTGATAATGATAATCCTGATCGTGACACATAAAAAACCTCGTTGCACAGATTTCATAGAAATGACCGGAAGACAAAAACTGACACGTCAACGATGATGACAGCAATTATTAAAGGTCAAAATGACGTAAAACACAATTTTCCGAAGATACTGTGTAGCCGTAAGCCAAAATTGTGGAATAAGTATTTTCGACATTTTAGGACATACGCAGAACGATGCGTTGACTAGTTTCAAAATGCCTATATAATGTATTAATATATGGCTTTTCTGTTTACCAAATCTACGACGTCCATTATACCGATATTTGCTATATAGTCTATATATTATAAGGCATCTCATGCCCTAATTACGAAAATACTGTTTGGGAACTATTGAACTTTCAACTTTGGTACATGACTAATTAATTAAAGCTTTCCCTGACCTAGTTTAATAGTTTTTGCGCACTGCAAACTTTTATGAATTAAAACTCTGAGATAGTAGTAAATAATAGCCATTATGCAAGTCACTGTGAATGGCCGCCATGACATTTTGCACACGGCAAATTTTTAATCATTTATAAAATGGACTCTGCCGGTTTTTTAACCTCAAATTAAAACAGTATTCTTTCAATAACATTTAAATTCATTCTAAAACATAAGTTATCAAATATTTTGATGTAAATAGTGGAAATAATTAAATATTTCCTAAGTAACAGCGTCTTCAGCCACTTGGCCACTTCCTTATCGAAATTGGGCTGAGCTACATTACCATATAGGGGTTTACTCAAGTGAGCATAACAAGTGACCAACATGTCCTAACTCAATGAGAATTGACACAAATACACATCGATAGATAATACAGAATAAGAATTTTTTTTAAAGACATAAAAATTGAACTTCTATACGAATTTTGTAGTGAAAGATGCCTTATATTTAAAGGGGAATCTCAAAATACAGGTCGAATTTAAAAATTAAAACAAATGAATGTAAATGTAGGCCAAGATGTCTACCTAAATATAAGGCCGGAAACGGAACTCAAATATATGTCAAAAGTACTCATTTAATAATAAATAAACACACACATCGGAAAATTAAAAACTCAGATTTTTCGGCGCCGATTGCCATTTCCGATACACGAAAAGTAGTAGCCTCCCTTGGCTTACCGAATTATCTACCTACTGCCTACTTCTTTAAACTTCTTATTCTTGGTACTCATAATTCATAACTCATTGAGAAGTTCATCTTACACTTTGCACTACTTTACGAATTGCAGTCAGTTACACTGGTACAGATTAAAATTACAGTGTTACTGTTTTTACCAGGAAAATACAGTACTCATCACTTATTCACTTAGACTTAGAGTTAGGCCTACTGAGGCTACTGGCACTGGTTTTTAAAACTTTGTCCTGGTTTTTAATGAGCTGAAACCATTACCGTTTAGGACAACAAAATGTTTTGTTTTTTTTAAATTTGTTTATTTATCACAAAAGAATAATTAAAAGTACATTCAGTCCCCACTGCACTTTTCAGAAAAGCATTGTGCAGCTAATATTCTACTAATACCAGTCTTTGTTTAGGATAAAATATTTTATAAGAAGTATACGGCAGTTTGTTCAATTTTGAATGGTGTAATTTTGTAATGTACACATTTTTTTGCATTTCTATTTCTTTATTTCAGAGCTGGTTGATAAATGTATCGGCTCCAGAATTCACATCATAATGAAAAATGATAAAGAGATTGTCGGTATTTTATTAGGTTTTGATGATTTTGTCAGTATCCTTTTGATGGCAGACATACTTGGCAAATTTTTATTACATTATTCAGTTTTTTGTTGTTTTTTTTTTTTGCTTAAAAATTTACTGTCAATTAATGCTATTAATTAAAACTCATTGATACCTTTCTTCCGAGCTTGGATTTTCATATACGCTAAATGGCTTTAGCCGAGGGCCTCCAAAATTTAAGACTAACTAAGGCCCCTCAAAATTTAAGTTTAAGAAATCTCATTTTATAAATTTTTTAAATTATTAAAATTTTGCAATGTCTTTCAAAAGTGCTATTACTGATTTCCCTAGTCACATATTGGCCATGTTAATGCAGCCACATTTTGACTAAAGCACTGTGAGATAAAGAATACCAAGAAATATGAACAGAGCTCTTGATCAACTCTTTCAAAGCAAAAGCAAAAAATACAAGATGAAATCCTTTATTCATTTATTAGATACGCTTGAATCTAATGTACAAAGAAGACCTACTGGGTACAGCAACAGTGCAAAAATGTTTGGGTTTTATTCAGGATGTGAAATGTTAAACGAAACCATAAAATTATGTTCGGAGGGCAAATGATGTTTTATTTTAATGATGGTGGTGTGTAATTTTAAGTAAGTGATTTTCCTTAAAACATTATTAAGATATGGTCTTGGAAGATGTTACAGAATTGTAAGTAAAAAATGTTTGTTGTCTTAATTTATATATCCCAAGTGATACTTTTACCCATACTTTGAACAGATTTTATACATTTTCTGATTTGTACAGCTTTTTACAGATTTTCACAGGATTTAGAAAAACCCTTTTGAAATAAGGGGGATGGCCATCTGAACATTTTTTTTGCTCCTTACAAGAATTTAAATGTTGGTAATTATTTCTCCATTCAATTTAACAGTGAGCTTTGGGATCAGTAGTGTAGGCTTTTCTTTGAAGTAAAATTTAAATATAGAATCTGGTTGTGGGCATCAGTGCCCTGTATTTACTTACTGGTACAGGTAGATAGTCAGAGTCATACCAGTAGTAGTAGCTTTGAGATCAAAATTTGATATCTGTTTATATAGTTTTAAGAAAAACTACATTGTCTATTGATTGTAATAGTAGTATATTTTATTTTAAATATAAGCATATCCCTAACAATGGCATTTCTCATGGGTCATTATAACTTGATTTAATTTAATGACATTAAATAATATCATTTAATTGCTTTTATCACTTTCTACAACTTTATCTTCTTTTTTGTAAACATTATTTTGAAACAAAATAAGTGAGAATTGCATAATACAATATCAGCTTTTTTATAATTTTTATTTCCTGCTTAATCTATCAACTTAATGGCAGAGCTTATTTGAAAAAATATACATTTGGAACTAAACATGCACCTTGGAAAGTGAATAGATTGTACAAAACTTAAGAATTAGTTAGGCTTTATCCATTAGAGCATAGAGTGAGTTTCACAAAATTCATCAAAGAGTCAGTAAATAGATACAATAAGCCATTTTGATTTTATATTATCTATGATTTTCCTTCCTTTAAATCAAGGGTAACACCGACTTAATTAAACAAATGTATTTTGGTCTAAGGGCTAAAACAAAATGTCCTTCGACCCCTGATCTAGCGGTTTTGCATGTTTACATGAATTATTTAGAGCTTGAGACAGTGGGTCTTTGTGTCCCATAGGTAGACTCATGAAGGCAGTGGGCCTGTGTGTCTCATTAGTGGACTCATGAAGGCAGTGCGCCTGTGTGTCTCATAAGTGGACTCATGAAGGCAGCGGGCCTGTGTGTCCCATAGGTGGCCTCATGAAGGCAGTGGGCCTGTGTGTTCCATAGGTGGACTCATGAAGGCAGTGAGCCTGTGTGTCCCATTAGTGGACTCATGAAGGCAGCGGGCCTGTGTGTTCCATAGGTGGACTCCTCTATTTCTACTTTGTTAACAATATAAAGTCAGTAGTTTTGAGGCTCTTGGGCTATTAACAGAACATTTTTCATATCTTATTTTGATTCCATTTAAATTGACCATCTTGATTGATATTTCTTGAAATGTTTGGAAATATTATTACTTATGAATTTAATTACTTTACATCTGAGACAAGGTAAGAAACCATTACCCATTTGCTTGATTTTTAAATTTTTTTTTATTATTTTAGTGAAAGTACGCCAGAAGGGAGAAGGGTAACCAAATTGGATAAACTGTTGCTGAATGGAAACAACATTACAATGGTAAATTGAATTTTTGTATTATTTTTCTTTTAGGTGCAATCCATAAAAGATATCTGCAATCTCTTTTGAAGATTTCCTTTATGAACAACTCCTTAATAGAATTTGTTATTGTTTTTTGCTTTGAAACCTTGGCTCCTGGTCCTAAAATACCCATGCCCCTGGGCTCCTGGTCCTAAAAACCCATGCCCCTTGTCCTAAAATACCCATGCCCCTGGGCTCCTGGTCATTAAAACCCATGCTCCTGGGGGAAAATTCTACAAACTGACACACGAGCAAACAAAATCAAATAATTATAAAATTATTTTATTTATTTCAATCTAAATTTGTCTTTAGTTGTCCATAAGTATTATAACAAATTTCACAAGGAGAAAAATTGTGTTAGAAATGGTGTGAAATAGCTTAAGAATAGTTCATTTATATGACCCTGATTTTTCATAAAAGCCTTGGCTTGAACTAGGGGTAGATCTTGTGTTGTTTATTTGATTCCCAAAGCACACATCGATGGCACTATTTGTTTTATTCGATCTTTTTTTTCAAAAATAATCCTTTGAATTATTAGCATAAAACTGCTCTAGTCTCTTCTTGAGAATAGCAATTTTTGTATTTTGGTCACCTCTATACATTGAGAAAGCATAACAAAAACAATACATTCATGAGCGCTACCATTACTGGTACCTTTCACAAGTCACGGGATAAATCCTGAACTAAGTATTTACAATACATTTTATGGTAAGGTATGGTAGACAAAAATATTGGTCTGTAGGGGTGTGGATTTTTAAAGCGCAGACAGATAAAGCAGGGTCAAAGGGTTAAACACTTTCGGTTCACATAGTATCTTGGAACAAAGTATTATGAAAAAAAAAATTTTAAACCGGTATAAAAATAAGTGATATGACAGTGTGTAAAATATCATAACAGAAATTTGTTAAAATTATAATTTATGAAGCAGGGATTGCAGTCAGATTAAAGAAAACACTTTTTATCAAATTAAATCATCCATGAAATTCTTTTTTTTTTATGCCTACTACAAAAATTATTTTACGTATAAAAGGGAACATAAAATGTGATAATTACTGTTATCAGCGTTCAAGTGGAAAAGCATCACCATCCTACCCTTATCACACATCATAACCTGGGTGTCCTAACATCCTAACAGTTATGGGGCCCCTAACTAAAGTAATGCATTAGACCCCCTCCGTCCTCTCTAACTTATGAAAGTTAAGTACCTGGTAATTAAATAAAAATATACATACCGGTACTTAATAGAATCAAGCCTATTTTTATTTGTACTTTCAATACAATCGACTTTCAATGACTTACAAAATCAAAGAAAGTAACGATAATTCAACAATCATTTCAATCTGAATATAGATGTATGAAAACATGTTCATAAGCAGAATCCAAATAGTACAATTATTTAAATAGTGAAATATTTTATGAGTAATAATTATCTAAACTAAAAGAAAAAATTATTACTGTACTATAATTATTATTCATTTTTAGATATTTTACAAAGCCTCCCTAATTTTTCTTAACAGAAAATGATTTTTTTTCTTTAACTTTTAACACAAATACAGACACAAGAGATATACAAATGTTTTACAACATTATTTATTTTTTAAATTAAAATTTTCACACAGCATACACACTGAAATTGTACATTAGAAAAGGGTGTCAGTGAGCTCTTTATGTCCTCTCCAAAGCACACACCCCAAGCCCAAATATCAGGCCGCGAAGCAGCACGTTGGAGATCTCCCCTCGCCAGAACCGCCTCCGCCAGCATTCACTCTTTCAGGTGCCAATGGTGGCCACCTAGCCCAAGAATATCTGGTCGGCTCGTGATGCTGCTCTCACAGCGTCAGCAGTCGACTTTCCCAGGAGTCGGGATAGTATATTTACGTCCTAAAATCTTCGCCCTCCCATCCCGAGGAAGCATCAGACTCTCTAATTTCTTCAGTGGGTTTCTACCTCAAAACTAATTTTATGAAGCAAATGGGATGAAACGGCGGTAGTCAAAGAACAGCTCCCTCAATTGGCTGTGGAAATAGAAGTATGCACACTAAATTTATTCAATATACTACTTTTTTATTAAAAAAAATACAAGTTACAAGCTAGGACAATGGATATATAAGTAAGTGGTTTATATAAAGCCTTTTGAATATTCTTTGGTCAAAGTCATTGCCAATTAATATTACCTCAAATCGCTTGTCTTCAATACACAGGTATCATTATCTTTGTAGGCCAAGAAAATCCTGTTGCAACCCCGCTGTCCCACAATACAAAAAATATTATTTTTTTAAAAAATTAAGCCTTGAAATTCAGGCTTTCTCCAGTGCAGTGCATACACAGGGAATGCTTCAGCGCAACCTTACTTAGTATATGAACATAGGTTTATCATATTATTATTCAAGACAAAAACTGACACCGTACATCCGCCAACAGGCACAGATTTCCATTTCCCTAGGTGGGACCATGGGTTTTAGATGGGATCATGCTTTAAGATGGCACAGAACAAAACCATCTAAAACATGAAGAAATCCTAGTTACTGTATCTGTTTGAACTTATTGTTAACTTATGTTACCCTTTTATTCCAGTTGGTGCCTGGAGGAGAAGGTCCAGAGGTCAACTGACACTAACTGACACATTTTTAAATCTTTTTTTTTTATACTGCTTTGTATGTGTGTTGTATGTTTGTTGTGCCTGATCCCGACTGGATATGTTAGAGATGATTTTTTTTAAAAATAAATCATAATGACTTATCAATATGCTTATGGATGGTTCTTGTAAAAGTTATCTCAGAGTATGTTTTAACCGTGCTTGACAGAGAGAGTGAATGTTTGAACCAATAAAGTGTGGTTAGTCTGCTTTTGATCTGAGAGAGAAATCTATCATCATGTGTGTTTCATATTGTGACTCGGCCCATATAAAGATAAATAAAACACAATCATCAAGTACATTCCTCAGCTTTATTTTATTATCCATTGAGTTTGACTTGATTGTTATGTTGTTGTTGGTTTTTATTTTTTTAAATTTTTTTGTTGTTGAATTGGGGGTGGGCACATATTTAAAATGCATACATAAATGTATTATGTTCTTAAGCCCTTAGCTGACATTTTCATAGACAGGATGAGACCATCCACATGTATTGACTTCCTCACTGAAAGGGTTATGTGAAGAAAGTACAGTACATTTATGCACAAATTCTGTAACAATTATCCTGACATTTTCATGCTCTCAAAATCTGTGAAATTCTATGATTTATCTTCAAAAAGGCTATACTACATAATAATAAGACTATCATGACGATGTTTTGTACCGGTAATTAGTTTAGTAGTAGAAATAGCAAATGCTTCAAAGTGCCTCAGTGCAACACAGTGCAGTATCAACAATCTTTCTTTCCATGAACAATAATGGCATGGAACAACCTGAACGATGCAACTGTGAACTTGACATCAGTCGAAAGCTTAAAGGCTGCCCTGGCATCAGCTAGGAGCTATTAGAATAGCAACATCATACCCCCAACCGTTGCAAAAATGCCAGTACATGGATGCAGCAACGAAACAGAACCAGAATGCGTTTGGGAAAGGAAGGATACAGCTTCAGTTCCATTCCTCAGTACTCCTTCTCCGTCCATGTTTATCTTTGTTCAAGTTATTTAACTCAAAATAAGATTAGGAATTTTTTCCCGATGTGCAAAATATGACATTTTGGTCAGCTTACTTAAAGTTTAACCAACCAACATGGTGGTACAGCACTGGGTGGGGGGGGGAGAAGGTCGATAATTTAGGAGATTTTGTGTATAGCATGGTGGAAAAAAAATTGGGGGAGGGGAGAATATTTACCAACAATTATGCACAAATTATGATACAGTTATTCTAAAAGTCTGACCCGTATCTTCCAGTCAATTCAACCGTCACCTACAAATCCTTGGAAATCCACGATTCGGATCTTTGGCTTCCACAGGGAACCCGCCGTTTTAACTCGGTTTATGCCCATGACTTTATTTAATGGCCCCGTACGTCAGAATTGAAACAGGAGTTGGGAAGAGAGGGGGGGAGGTCAAAATTCTAATTTGCACGTACACAGGGGATGTACAAAATGTACGGTGTAACAGTGTAACAAAAGAAGGGGGAATTCTAATTTGCACATACACAAGGGATGTACAAAATGTACGGTGTAACAAAAGAAGGGGGGTCGAAATTCTAATTTGCACATACACAATGGATGTACAAAATGTACGGTGTAACAAAAGAAGGGGGGGGGGTGGAATTCTAATTTGCATATACACAAGGGATGTACAAAATGTACGGTGTAACAGTGTAACAAAAGTAAATGCACCAATCAGTCCATTTTTTATTCTTGTTAAGTTACAAGTTTTTGTTTTTATTGGTATTTTCCAGCTTTGATGTTTAATTGAAAATGACAGGTTAAATGCCTGTAAAAATATTTTCTAAGCTATGCATGCTCAGCTGTACCTGAAAACAAATCATCATGAAATGTAAATGCGGTGTATATAATATATATAAGGCATTGCCATAATAAAAAAAAAATTTTTTAAATGAAGTCTATAAAACTATAATTTAACAGCTGATGCACAGAGATTGAAAATGTAGATTTGTTTTGTGATTGAATGTACCGGTATATTGACAAATGTTTGCTATGGTGGTGTGGAATCGATAAAGTTAGATGAAAGTCTGAGCGCACAAGACTCTTTTGTTAGATTCTTGAATTTATTAAATTAGGTATTCTAAATGAAAATTTCATGATGTAAAATTAAACTATTCCCTTAAACTCACTGAATGGCTGTTTTAAATAATTTATTATAAATGTCTTGTGATCAAATTGTTTTATTTTTTAGCTGAAAATGTATAATGCCATCAAAAAACATTTCCATTTATTTGGATCAATAAAAGAATATTATCTGATCTTAAATAGAGCTTGGCTCAATCAGAACAGGCCCACAAATTTTAACTCTTTCTCCAATGTTAAGAAAGTTGTGTGTAAAAAGAAACAGGGACAGGGTTAATTTTTAGATGACAGTAACATGTAGTTTTGACACTCACAATCTTCTAAAATAACCACCCTCTTGCACAAACAACCAGTTATACATATGACAAATTCAATTTTTTCAGGGTTGTCACTAAAATGTAAATACTATTTTTATTCATCCAAAAATTAGCCAAAACTCAATTTTACAAAATATAAAAGGGAAACACAAAAGAGCAATTGTAATTCATTTTTAAAAAAATCAATTAATGTGAAATCATCAGGCAAAGTTTAAAACAACTAAATATTTTCGCATGAATCATTAATATTGAATTAGTAATAATGAAAATCAATTTACAAGAACAAAAGGATTATCTCAGCAAGGCATCTTCACAATAATGGAACAATTTCAATTTTTTTTTAAATCATAAAAAAGTAAGAAACGTGTCATTTAAATTGAGATCCTCCTCAAAGACAGAAATAGAATTTAATCAAATGTAAAAAAAATCAAACTATAAGTCTTGCCAAAAAATGTTATTACACTTGGATGTTGATATGTACTGTTTTCAATCTGTTCAAATTATGGGTTTAATGGTGGATACAGCATGTTTAAAGCATTGCACACTTTCCAAATATCATTAGGCTGAGACGTGTCAGCTTAAACCTTGCTCAAGGATCCAAAAAGTTTTTACTGCTGCCATATACCTCTCTACATGGATTCGAAGCCTGGCAACTCGCCGAGTTAAAATTATCTCAGAGGCACTCATAATTCCACCCAAGAGAAACAAGGATAGGAAAATGAGATCTATTTCTTTTGCTGTTGTATATTTGGCAATCTCAAATCCTTTGTCTGCCATTATTGCATCTCCTGGTAGCAAAAGATCTTAGAAGCTGTGACAGATTCGTGATTTGCTGATCACTAATACTGCCTAACCACAAATCTGACACAAATAACAAAATCCGATTTGGTGTAATGCCTATTAGTCCCTTCCATGACAGACTGAGTAATAAAAGATGCAGACCAGTTGGTAAATAACTCAGTGGAGTCAATAATTATCCTACACCTTGGAAAGAGGGAACAAAATTTTGATGGCATCATATCATCAACTTGCTGTCTTGAGGGCCAGTGGATCAGTGGTGATAAATTAATATACAAAAAGTGTATCCACCTGGTAAAAATAGTGCTACATGTAGACACACTAATACAGAACCTATCAGCTTGGTCTTCTAACTAAAGTCCCAATCTGATTCTCATCAGCACTAGAAAAAACTCATCAATGAATCTTAGCCTTTTCCGCTGGCCTACTTGATCCTTTAAAATATCCTCATGTTGGGACAGCTCATCAAAAACCACAGTGAAATATTTTGCAGAAGGAAATCCTGTATAAAAACGTACTTTCTCATCACAGTTTTGGATGTCTTCAAAAGTAAATGCTGGCAAAGTTGTTTCAGTTGAAACACTCTCATTTTCATTTGCAGTTTGTGTGGCAACATCTTTACTAAACTGGATATCCGTGTTGACTGCAGTGTTGATTTTGTGCCTGAAAATAATGTCTGTCTGCACACTTTTGTCACCACCTGCTGATTCCTCCTGTAATTCTGGTACCTTGCAGTAATCATGCATCCATGTGAAAGTGCTTTCATGTTCCTGCAATAGTAACATACCAATATCTATTAACTCAAATCAAGATTTATTGTAATTGTTCTCCTATGATCATGTATTTAACTGTGTAACTTTTTTTTTTTTAAATCCAAAAATCAAATACATAGGAAACTTTTTAAAAGAAAAATAAAACTTTTAAGAAAATAACCATTTAATCTATTTTCAATTGATTATATTTCTATTGAGCATGGTTATGAAATAGTATGTATCATAGGACAACCATTGGGAGTAAAGGGTCACCAAGCTTTAACAAACCAACCAAACCGTAATAAAGCTTAAAACTACCCGGTATATACATATACTAACAACAACAACAAAAACTGCAATAAAGCTTTTAAGAGGCTTAGGATTACACAAAATGTAAATTCAAATCACACGCCTTCATCAGTACAACAACAAAAATACCCATAAATTCAATTATACAGAAGGAATATATATATAATATCCAACCCATACCTAAAAATGATAGAAAAGATTGATCTATAAACAAATAAGAATGTGAAATAATAAAATAAAATCTGACCATTTTATTGGTGGAGTCTGTTTCATTTGTCACTGGAACTTGAGGTTGTTGGTCATATAGAACATTGAACAGCTGCTGTGTCTGATCTTTTAATATCTGGGGGTGTGAGGTTATAGAAATAAGAAATCATTAGCGCTCTAGTTAGTGGACCTACCATAATAACAGCAAACGAAAAGATCATGTATACACATTTGCTATTTTTTAAAGCTGTTTTTGTGTGTGTTGTATTTCGCTTCATGTTCAATTATTTGTAAAATAAAAAATGCTATACAGATTTACATTTTATTTGCCTGTTTTATTTCCAAGTATATATAACTAGTTCTCAAGTTCTAATTTATATACTCTGTAGGCCTAATTTACAAAGTAATTGTTCCAACCACTAACTTTAAAAAATTAATTAAAATATCATTTGATTTTGATTACATTACAATCGAGAAGCTTACACTTAAACTTAAATTATTTTTCAAACCACACAGGACTTGACTTTATGCCAGAGCCAAATGAAAAGTCGTATTAAGCTGTCATTAAATCAGTTATAAATAATGATAGTGCTAGTACTGCAAGTCCAAGTATAATTATAATACTCTAATAATTAGTAATTAAAATTAGTCTACCAAATTTAATCCTTGTTTTAATATTAAAGACGTAGGCTTAGTAGGCCTAAGCCTAAGCTAAATGTAAATTCAAAATTATAAATATAGGACGCCTATATTTAGGCCCATATAATGACACTTATTGGTAGCATAATCATATTATGAGCATTCATATGATTCATGATC